GGGAGTTGGGTGGGTAATGGGGCGGGTTGGGGGGTGGGGTAGTGAAATAGGCATGGGCAGGGTATGGGTAGTGGGTGGGGGTGGGCCGAGGACCCAGCACCCCGGGGCTAGGGTTTGGGTACGGTGACTTCCAGGTAGTGTGCCCGTCCGGTTGTGGTCGCTGTCTCGATCCGCCGTTTGAGCGCCCTCGACCACGACCCCGGTTGCCGTTGCCGCGCCCTTGTCCGCGTCCAAAGCCACCACGCTGCCCGGAGGAGGAACCATCACCAGAGTTGCTGCCAAAAAAGTGTCCCCCACTGCCGAAGTCACTGCCGGAGCCGCGCCCGCCGTTGCCGCTGTGCTGTCCGCCGGTGTAGCCGCTGCCGCCGTGCCCTGCCAGCAGCGCCGTGCTGCTGGTGCTGCCCAGTGGGGTCCTTTGCCGATCAAGAAGGAGAAGGGCCGATCGGACCTGAAGAAAGCTCGGCATAGGATCCTGAAATTGGAGGAACGAGGTCTGAGCCTGGAGATCATCGGGGAGGCCGCGTAGCATCTGAAGAATCAATTGGTGCTCCGAGACGGGAGCGTCGACGTCGTCCAACCAATCCGCAATATTTTGGAGTTCTTGACAATAAGTGGCCATGGGGGTAGATCCCTTGACCGTGGTGCGGAATTGGTGCTCGAGTTGCATGGCGCGAGCATGTTTGTTGTCGTGAAATAGATCATGAATCATCTTCCAAAGAGCAGAGGCAGTAGAGACGGAGGAGATAACCAGATCAGAGACTTCATCCGTGATAGTGGAGAGAATCCAACCCTGGAGAATGGCATCAAGTTGAAACCATTCATCGTCGTCGTCGGAGATGGGAGCGATAGAGCCATCAAGATAACCGTGGAGGTTGAACCGACGTGTGAGAAGAAGAAACAGTCGGCTCCACTTTTTGTAGTTTGGTTGAGAAAAGCTCAGTTGAATAGGGACATGTAATTTGACGTTGGAGACAGAGAAAGCCAGATGAGGAGGTTTTTGGGAGGTAGACTGAGAGGTGATCTCACTTTCAGCCATGATAGGAAGGAGGAGATGGCTGGCCGAGAGAGAAGGAGAGGGAGGGTGGCGGCGTCGGTGATTCGGCGGAGGAGGAGGGAGGCCGAAAGGTGAGAGGAGAGATTAGGGTTTTTGGTTAGGCTCTGATACCATGAAGAAGGATTATTTTCATTGAATAATTTGTGAGGAGAGTATATGTATATATACAAAAGTCTCAATCCTAATTATGGTAGGAGAGGCCATCTAGGAAACCTATACAAATAGGAAACCTATACAAACATGGTAACAATAATAATACAATAATATTAAATATATTATATATATATTTAACAGGTTCGATGCTCTGAAAACCAGGCAGGACGTCAACGTGGACGAGGGTGTGAGTCAAGGGCTAATCGATCCATCCGGAGGTCTACGACCCAATCAAGTATAATTAAAATAGTACTCCCTCCGTCCCAATTTATAATGTCTTTTTCAGTTTACGATGTTTGATTGAAATTATTTTCAAATCATTTTTGGAGAAAAACCAGAATAGCACTCTTAGAGTTTTAAAATACTCTAAATAGCAGTGCTATATGTTTCGTTCCCGTGATTCCAATTTTTTCCTTTAATTAAACATCAAATATTCATTACACAGCTAGAAAACATGACGGTTTTGGGCAGTGTGGTTGTTCACTTGTAACTGTGTAGTGGGAGTGTCGTTTTTTATATGTGAGTATTTAATGTGGCAGTGTAGAATGGATATATGTTGTTATATCTTACGGTAGTGTGTAAGTGTATTATTGTGTTCCTTAATTTCATGTTGGAGTGTAATGACCATTGAGTTAAGTGGCAGTATTTTCATGTATACATTCTACATTGTCAAAAAGTGTGTGACTGTTTTCATGTACGAATTCCACGCTGCCCAGAATATGTATTGCTCTTTTTATATATGAATTCTATATTGTTTTCATGTATGAATTTCACACTGCCAAAAATGTGTATAACTGTTTTCATGTATGAATTCAATACTGCCCAAAAATGTATGTCTGATTTCATAAATAATCTATTACACCAAAACACACTGGCCAAACATGGGCATTAAGTATGGAACTTAATTTAATACGTGCGAACTTGTTTAGGCATTGTACATTGGTAAACTACGTAGGAAGAGGATCTCCCAGAGTTATGGTAAACGGCGTAGGATGATGTTTTCGCACGTATGAAGAGTGGCTACGTGAATAACCTAAGTTTAATCAAATAATTAAAAGTAATTAAAAATAGTAAAATATAATAAAAGATAGAGGGTATGCTTGGAAGATATTGATATGACAAATGGTGATTTCTTAATCATTTTATATGACAAATGGTATATAGTTAAAAATAAAAATTATATATTAAAATACTACATCAAAAGATCTACAAAACTAGTAGTAACAATAATACTTTATTTTATCAAATTACTAACGAAAATAGAAAAAGAAAGTGAATGAAATTTGATCATGTGAATAACAAACATACACTATTAATTAGGACGAAGGAAATAATATTTATATTATATTATTAGATGCCTTTAATTAATAAAAGTATTTTAGTTTGTACTCTGTTTTTTTTACTTCTCTATCTAGGTTTTAATATCATTATGCATATACTATATAATAGTTTCTATTTTTATTTTATTACTTTTTATTATTAAAAGTCCAGACTAGATAATGTATTCTTCTATACTATTGATATTTTAAAACTTATATTTAGGGATTAAACTGATTGAAAAACGAAATATAGCATATTAAATCATAATTAACATTTTAAAGATGAAATTAATATTTTAAGTATTGTTTATTTATTTTTTTCTTAAGATACAAATAAATAATACCAATTATTTTTAACTTTGAACTACTTTAAAAGTTAATAAAATAAATATATTGCATAAACATGGTTTTTTCTTTAATAATTAGAAGCTTTTTTAAATTATTCTCTAAATAAGTTGAACTGATATATACAACAATTAATGGTATACAACAATTCACTAAAGCTTTTTTTTCATTTTTTTTGTTCACATTGAATTGAAATTTTATGGTTTCTACAAGGAATGAAACACGGGCAAAGTTTTCACGTCCTTGACATTGATACTCAACCAAAGTTGTCACTTCCGAGTGAAGATTGAGTAACACGACTAGGAGGAGCTCTTTAGAACAGACAATGCCTCCTTTGTTGTGGCAGAGATAACCGCATCTGAAGCATTTGGCAAATAATAATACTTCCCTGTGCTCATTAATTCAAGAAGAAAACAAAAAAGGATTAAAACTTTTACATCTTTTTTCTTAGGCAAAACTGGAAATAGACAAATTCTGCACAAACCTTGAGAAACTTTGGCAATTTCTTTAGCAAAGCCAGTGGACACAAATTTGTTCTCTGTGTCAATAACGAGGAGGGACATCCCAGCTTTGTATATTTTGCCAGCCACCTCAAGAATCTCATCCTGCGCAAGCAAGCCAGCATAATTGACAACTTCACATGCATTCACCCAAATTCAATCAAAACAGCCCAGATATTATTAGTTCATAAATCAGACACCTTCAGTTCTTGAGCAGAGGGTCTGGGTGCACCAGAAGAGGTTGGATCGGTAGATCTTTTTAGGGATATGTTAGCTCTACCGTCAGTGATTGCAACAATCATTATGCGTCCAACGTCACCACTCTTCTCTGCATTCATCCCAACTCTAACTGCCTGAGAACAACAAAATATTGGAAAATTGGTTGTGTTGGCTTGCAATATTTCATATCAACTGCAACGACTTGGAATTCACCTACCGTGGTGAGTCCATGAGCAAGAGGAGAACCCCCACCACACGGAAGTCTCTCAAGACGCTTTCTTGCCATTGAGATTGACCTTGAAGGAGGCAATAGAACTTCGGCAGCATCTCCTCTGAATGGAATGATGCAAACCTGTGCTACCCAACCAACATTTTCACACGAACTATATTATCTTAGTAGAGATGGGATTTTCCAGGGTCCAAGGTCAAAGTTGAGGATTCTCTTAGGTAGTGTTTGGGAACTAGAATTCATTTGAAATCTTATATTTCAACTCCAATATTTGAAATCCCATAATTTCAAATTCAAAATATTATTTGGGAAGTCACAGAATTTCAGTTCTAGAATTTGAATTTCGAAGTCAACAAAGACCTATGTAATTTTTGTTGCATAAAGGGAGATCACTCTTTAATTACAAATTATAAGTTAAAGAAAAGTTGGGCTTGAATTTGTAAATGACGTGGGGAGAGGTGTGGGTTTGCAATTGGGTTAATTTTGAATTAGAAGAATTTGGTCCGAATCCAAATCCAAATTGTTTTAGTTCCCAAACATGTAATTTAGATCAAATCCAGATTTGGAATCCAAATTCAAGTTCCCAAACACACCATTAAGGAAATATAAGGATTTTATTACAACCCTAAACTGACCTGATCTCTACTTGTATAACTTTCAGCGAGTAGTTTTAATGCTGCTCCCTTTGCATTCTGCATCCTGTTCAACGCCATACTTCCGCTTGCATCTACGACAAATATCACCTGCATTATCGCAAATCCTTTTTTTAAAAAAAAATCAGCAGAGCAAGTGTATGTCTTCCATGCTATAAATCATTATTACTCCCTCCGTCCCTAAATAAACTTTTGTTTTTTACTTTTTGAGGATTTAAGGGAGGGATATTTTGGTGTTGACTTTAAAAGTAAGATGTGATATGTAGATTATTAGTAAAAAGGTATGATGTGATAGGTAGGGTATGAAAAAGTAAGGGGTAAAAGGGGTTTTTTAAGAGAAAAGAGAAGTTTATTTGGGGACAAAGAAAAAACGAAAGAGGAAGTTTATTTAGGGACGGAGGGAGTATTAGATAAGGGGTCATTATCCCACCAAGTTCTACTCATCTCAAAAAACAACTCCAATTAAATGTTTTGGGTTATAACATTAGGCTACACTTTTTTAAAAGAAAATAAATGTATTAATTAAAATAATCAGGTTACAGTTTCAAATGGTAAGGGGAGAGGGTGGGAGAGAGAGAAAATCTACCAAGGCTCCTGCTTTGCGTGCCATTCTTTTGGCTCTCATGTCAGTTTTCTCCACAAAAACTTTTCTACTTTTTTGAAGGTCCTTCTCTCTACGTAGCTTCTGATATGGTGCAGCTGCTCTTAGAGTTGCATCAACAGCTAATCTTTTAACGGGACCCTAGATAACATTAAGTGACATTGCTTTTAAAAAAATAAATGAGAAAAATATTCTGTTTTCCTTTTTTAAAAATTTCAAATAAATACATAAATGAATGATAATGATGAAAAAATTTACTGGACCCAATTAAACATCATTCAGGATATTCCATAAGACAAGAAAGATGATATGAAACTAAAGTGAATAGAAGCAGAACTTTGTTAACCTTAGGAAGCATTGGCTTAATATATCGTCCTCTATCTTCAGAGAAAATAACATTCTTTGCACGGCCAGCTTTTCCTTTACGCCTCTGTGCCTGTTGTGCAAAGAACAGAAGCTTCTCATCCACCAAACCACCTTCTGCATCAAAGATGAACTCTTCAGGTATTTGTTCTTGTTGTTGCTCATTTTCCTCATCTTTGTTTTCCTGGTTAAAGATTGAGCATCACGATCACATGAGAGTTGAGATCCGTTTTTTTATAAAAATATTTCTATAATTGCTTCTCAGAAAAGACAAGTAAATATTGTCCAACTTAACAAACCTCTTGATCTTCTTCCTCTTCATTCTTCTCTTCAGAAGAATCTTGGTTTTGTGGAGGAGGAGGTGGTGGTGGAGGCGATTGTTGGTTCTGCTGCTCAGGTGGGTTTTCACTAATAATTGTGCGTGGAATTATGACCAGTTCTACCTTCATTAGAACAAAGTATTAGTACTAAAACGTATATCCACAGGGATGTGAAATTGATCTAGGAATGATAAAGTTATGCTGGGAAACTGAATAATTCAGCATGCAATGATTTTTATGACTGATGGTAGCAAACTGTCCGAAGTGTGTTAAATGTGAAAAGACAAGGCAAAATTGTGGCATAACGAGTTTCAGGAGTCAAAGCAGTCTAGCTGATACAGCCTCAAAAGTTGCTCAGAGCCGAGGTTATATAATCAAAAACTAAAAAATGTTGGTGCTTCCCCATTTAGACAAATGAAATATTGGTGCTTCCCCTTTTAGACAAATGAAATATTGGTGCTTCCCCTTTTAGACAAATGAAATATTGGTGCTTCCTCTCTTAGACTAATGAAGTATTGGTGCTTCCTCTCTTAGACTAATGAAATACTGGTGCTTCACCTTTTAGATAAATGAAACATTAGGGGCTTCCCTTTTAGATAAAAGATGGTTCCATGAATCCTGAGGACCCAACTAGTACATCCTGAAACTACTATAATGCACAGTTTTTGTTATGGAACAGGGGACAGGGGCACATCACGGACTGAGATTTTGTTGAGATCCCGAATTCCATAGGTTTGTGTTTGTTTGATATCCTAAAAGCCCCTGTTTGACAAATTTCTCCATGCACTTCCCAACAGTGCCCCCAGGGGGGAATGCAAAGTCACGGTAACAAATTTATCAGTGATAAAAAAATATGAAAGATAATTAGTATTCTAATAAAGTTATAAAGCAGACGAATACAATAATAAAGTCATCAGAGAAAGCAGCAAGCCTAATCTGAAACCTATTCAAGCCCATGGCTCTCTTAGCCTGCATCAGTTTCTCAGAGAAGAAATTGGCTGGTTAGGGATTCAAGGACATGTGAAGATAAAAGGAAAAGTAATGGTAAATTTTGAACGGTCCCACACTATCCCAATTTAGGTTGAAGTTTGAATTATTCATATACTTCCTCCTACCCAAAATAAACTTCTCATTTTCCTTTTCTGGTTGTCCCAAAATAAACTTCATATTCCTTTTATGGAATGGATTAGGGAGTCCATGTTAATTCTCTCTACTCTACATAAATCTCAACCAAACATTTTCACTTTTCTAAATCCATGTGAAAGTGTAAAAGTTAAACCGGCAAGTTTATTTTGGGACGGAGCTATGAAGTATGAACTTCTGATGATTTTAATTCTTAAGATAAGAAACATTGTAGTAGGGTAGAGTTTAATACTCTATGTTGAAGGGATTCTCCGTCACGAGCAACTTGAGAGATTTGTCCCACCATTGTCAACAACAACAACCCAGTTGAATCCCACAAAAGAACAACAGCAACACCAACAACAACAATAAACCTAGTAAAATCTCACATGGTATGGAGCGTGGGGATGGTGAGTGCATGTAAACCTTTCCCCTACCTACAGCGTAGAAAGACTGTTTCCAAGAAGTGCCACCACCACAACCACGACCACCAAACCGAGTAAAATCCCACAAAAAGTAGGGTCTAGTGTACGTAGACCTTACCCCTATACTCCAAAGACCAAAGTAGGGAGGTTTCCAAGAACTTCCACCAATTTCAGTAATTAGAAAACTCTCAAGTGAATGTAAGAGGTAAAAGTGGGATGGCATATCAACTGTTATACATTTTGAACATGGAAATCTCAGAAAATACGAAGTATAATGCAGCTTACAGCTTTCTTCAGGTCATCAACATTAACTTTGTCACGTCCCTCAAGGGCAGCTAAGCATTTAGCTACACGAGCAGCATAAAGTTCAGCTCTATGCCCCTGTAAGTTCAAATCACATGACAGTCAGCTGCATTTAGGACACAAAGCCGTGTCAAAAAGAGCTTCAGTAAGAACAATGCACCATGAAGCAGTTTCTTTTGTGAAACAAATTTGAATATTTTATTTCAGAATGTTCTGAATGTGCCTCTTATCTTGTTTTACTTAAACTACAGCAGTACAGTCCTATTAATTGAACGATGTGATAAGGCATCTTTTGTAAATTATCAGTTTTCAGCCAAAGAGTATGATACAAACGCCACTATGCTATTCTGGGGAATACATTTTTTCTTCTTTTTTAGGTACAAAGAAATATTAAAGAATCCTCTCAAATTTGGAACTAAAATTGTCATTCATAAGACAATTTATAATTGAGCAAAGTTTCTCCCCTCTGCAGTGGGTGTTTCACTGCCACATTAGTGGTTAAAATCATGCCACATCATGTCATTTTAATAACTTTTTACACTCAAGATGATATGGTATGTCTTTTAGCCACAAATTGCAACATCTAATGACTCAGTCAAATATTAGTCTGGAGCATTCTTTTAACAAATAATAGAGCTTTGTGGCTAGTACCTGGCAACCACCACGTAAAGCTTCCATAACCAAGTACTTTAGCTGTTCTCGGCCAATTGTAACATCCTTTAGATACTCCCTGGCTAATATTATCTACAAAGAACAACATCCCATTCAAATGTTATGCAAAGAGCGTAAGTTAGTTTGTACAGATACAACATGAAAATCATTGCAATATAGAAGAAAATTTATTGTAATTAAAGCTCCGTTTGATTGATGAAACATAAGAGCCCGTTTGCAACCACTTGTGCTATAAGTGTTTTTGTAAGAAGTAATTCTCATTTAAACAGTACAAGTGCTTCCGTTCAACAAAGCTCCAATTTGGTGCTTTATTAGGCGGTGTTTCTCTGTGCTTATAAGCTGGTCAGAACTGCTTATTAGTTTTTTTTAACTTATAAGTCAGCAGATGATCTGTGCTTTTAAGCTGCTTATAAGCCAGAAAGAATAAGTAGGTCTTACTTGTAAACAAGTTTTTTCATTTCTCCGTTTTGACTAAATTGCTGACAAAACTATTCCTCACCTATTATGAATATCCTCAAATGACTTATATATCATATAAATCATTTTATCTACCCAAAAGAATTTTTAACTTATAAGCAGCTTATAAGTTAAAAATTGCTTACAAGCAATAAGCCACATCAGTATAAAGAAACACCCACTAAATATGCACAAACATTGCTTCATATAATTGGAAGTACTTTTTGCATTCCATGTCATACACTTCTTTTAAAAGAAATTAGTTTTTTCCAGTAAAACTACTTATTGTTTAAAATTAATTCATTCGAAGCACACCCTAATTTGTGGAAAACATTATACACACAAAAGAAATCAATGTGTAACATGCTATTTAACCCAAAGAACATGATACAACTCATTGACGACCATTGGGAATCGAATAACATTAAGAGTCTTCATAATATTAGTATTAAAATCATATTGGCCTTTTATTTTACTCGCTCCGTCCCGTAAAAAAGTTTCACATTTGATTAGGCACAAAGATTAAATAAGTGAAATTGTGGGGTTGAAACTTGTGTAGGGGAGAAATTTTATGGGCCACAAAGTTTTTCTATAAGTGGAAAGTGGAACCTTTTTTGGGGCGGACGAAAAAGAAAAAGTGGAACCTTTTTGTGGGATGGATGGAGTAGTTAATATTCCTAATAACAAAATTGTAATATATTAGAACTCTATTTACTTGCTCACCAAGATTATTATGAATATTATAAAAAAGGGGATTACCCTTTACCAATATTACATACAATTTCAAACTTAATTACATGGACTTAGACAAGTTCAAGTCTCTCTACGGTTTCTATCATGGACGAAACTTTTCCTACATGGCCTTTGTCTAGAGAGCCAGCCAGATCTCTACCACACTCCTACATTTGAGATTTGAACTAATTCTTTCCTACCCTTCATACATAATCTGCTACTAAAAAATACCCCCCATAAAAAACTTCCTTTGATGGAAAAAAGGCACAAGTGTTGTTCACTTGTTCCTATGATGAGTATGATTTATTCATCGTGTTTGCCAAAAGATCAAAGCAACATATAATTTTGAAGATGGATGGAGTTGAGCTCCACGTGTTAGTTCATTTTGATTCCATTCTAGACGCAATGGTAGCCCAACTAGAACTTCACAAATAAAAAAAACTTTATGAAGGGTGTCACACCATAAATGTTTGTTGCAGAGTATATTTCATAAAATATTTACTTTATATGATTTAATTAATTTTTCTAAATGAGTTGAGATGTTTATAAGATACACAATAGAAAGTATATTGAATTTGATGGAAATTTAGAATAATTTTGTTATTTCAATATGTTTTCAATAAAATGATACAGTATTAATTTGTTTAATTTGTAATCTATTTTAAAATTATTGAATTAAATTGACATAAAATTTACTTCACCACAATATGTAGTATCAACTAATGCACGAATAATATTCATATACATAAGGTTGAGTGTTTTACTTGTGGTGTTGAAATGTGTACTTGTGCAAAAATGTAAAAATGACTGTGATGTAACGTAATGACTCATACATATTCCACTTAGTTAATCATTTTTAATTTCACCTTTTATATAGAACATCAAATTTATAGATATATCTTTACGTAAGAGTATACAAGCCCATGCGAAACACAAAGTAAAAGCTTTGTTATATTTGGGTGGTTCAAAATCATCCTAAATTTATCCATTCTTTACATTTTCAATATCCAACACACAATTCTACTACTTCTTGTATTGTGTGCTAACACTCCATGTCCCAAATATAGCAGGAATGAGGGAATATTAGTTTTCTATTAGTATTGGTATTCTATTTAGCTAATATTTGTAATAACAATATTCTTATAGATTAGAACTCCATTTACTTGGTCACCAAGACTACTGTGAGTATTATAAATAGGAGTTTGCCTCCGCCAATTTTACATGCCATTGCAAGCTTAATTGCATGGACTTTGAGGAGATCAAGTCTCTTTAAGGATTTTGTCAAGGACCAAACTCTTCCTAAGCACACTTTGTTAAGGGAATCTGGTCTATCCCAACCCCTGCTCAAAAGAATTTAACTCACAAGAATAGTAAATACTCCCTTCGTCCCCAAATAATCTTTCCATTTACTATTCACATGGTCAAACTATATTTTCTTTCCATTGATCATTAGATAAAATAAAATAGTCTTGTCACCACCTATTTTGTAGAAAATTATAGTATATATATATATATATATATATATATCTTTTTTTTTAATTTTACACCAATTTATATATAAATTAAAATTTATATATAAATTAAATTGAAAAAAACTTTGGTCAAACATCGTTATCCGAAAAGGGAAGATTATTTAGGGACAAAGCTATAGAGGGAGTAAAACAACCCAGCATACTCCCCAACTTTGTTAGGGTCTAGGGATCAAGATGTTAATAGTCTTACCCCTGCAAAAACAGAGAGGTTGTTTCTTGTTAGACACATAATTATGAAAGGCGAGTGGCGAGTGGCGAGTGGCGGCGAGAGGACCTTTTTTGTGGCGAGTGGCGTGGCGAGTGGCGGGCGGTCAAATGGCGAACAAAAAAAAGCGAGTATGTATACACACACACACACAANACATATATATATATATATATATATATATATATACATATATATATATATGTATGTATGATTGTATGTATGTATGTATGTATAGACACACACACACAAATTGTGCATGGCATATCATAAAGTTTAAAACAATATATAAATCTCAAAGGAATACAAAAACAATAAGTAGCTAAGCTAAATTGGAAGAATAAAACATAAATTATTTTTCCATATTTATCATACGGAGTATATAATAGAGACACAAATTAAAAAATATAATGCACAAATTGAAAATTGAAGAATAATACAAAAATTGAAAATATAATACAAAAATTTAAAATAAAAGTATAAAACACAAATTAAAAAAACTATATAAGAATTAAAAACTGACCTACTTGACTGCCGACACCACTTGGAGGAAATCGACTGAGAAATATCAGCTGGAAGCTGCGACCTGCTGCTGCGATACAAGACTGGGAGCAGATTCGCAGCTGAATCGAGTGTAAGAGACGATCGGGTCATGACTGGAAGCCTGGAACGACGATCGGATTACGGGAAGAGGTAATTGCGGGTCTTTAATTAGAAACGGGCTCAAGCCCAATTTAATTGCTCCCTTAGATGAAGTCTGGACAGTGAAAAAATTGACCCACAACTTAATTGCGTCAATTGCGAACGCCATACGCCATAATTAGCATCGAAAATGGCGACCGCCATTCCTCGCCTCAAGGACAACGCCATGCACAGCCCAATCCAGGCGCCATCCCCTCGCCACAGCGCCATAAACGCCATAGGCGATCAAGGCGCTCGCCTTTCATAACTATGGTTAGACAACAGATACATTGCTGCATTTATTGCCCAGAACTTCACAGGAATTAAGAAGCAATGGAAGGTTAATGTTCCGTTTTGAATTAGCTCATGTGCCTGAAACTAAAACATTGTCAATAATGACTCTTTTAGCTTCATTGGCAATGGATCGCAACACTCCATGTCCCAAATATAAATGGATCGTAACACTCCATGTAATTACTCCCTCCGTCCCACTATTTTTGGGACATGGGGTAGTGGCCAGTTTGTGGGTTGATAGTGATGTTAAAAAGTAAGATAAAGTATCAATGATTGTATACCACACAGATGTGACTAAATATAGAATGGGACAATAATAGCGGGACAAAGAAAAAAGGTAAAATGGCATTAAAAAAAAAGTGGGGCATAGGGAGTAGTTTTCTAGCATATATTGGTGTTTTATTTAGCTAACGTGTAGCAATAATATTGTAATAGATTAGGACTCCATTTACTTGGCCACCAAGACTACTATGAGTATTATAAATAGGTGTTTACCTTCATCAATTTTACATACATTTGCATACTTAATTACATGGACTTTGACGAGGTCAACAACCAAACTCTTCCTAACCATACTTTGTTAAGGGAGTCTGATCTATCCCAACCCCGGCTCATAACTCACAGGAACAGTAAATAAAATAATAACCCAGTACAATCCCAACTTTGTTAAGGCCTGGGGTCAATATGTACGCAATCTTACCCCTGTGATAACAGACAAGTTGTTTCCATTGTGGCTAGATGTATTGTTAAATTTACTGCCCAAAACTTTACAGAAAGTAAGAAGCAGGTGATGTATAATGTTCCATTTTCATTTAGTTCAATATTTGCCTGAAACTAAAACATAGTCAATAACAACTCTTTTATCTCCATTGGCAATGGACCTAAAGAGGATAAAGTATTTCAAAAAATGACTTACTTGTTTGCACAAAATTCACAAAACAGGAAAAAAACTCAAGCATTCGAAGAATTAACAAAATGTTTTCAAGGGAAAGAATCCACGTTATCATGGAATTCATGGAGGAAAAAACATAACATTGTTAACTAATGTAATTGATATGGCTCTAGGGAGGCCTTAAAGATGCTGATTTAGAACAGAACCTCAATGTTAAATGGCTTTTCAGAAAAGATAATAGAGTTAACAGCATTTTGGTTCAATTTTCTAGAATCAGGTATGGGTTAAGGATATACTACCAAATTGGCATCTTTGATTACTGAAATGGAGCCCCGAAACTCATTCTTGACAGCCAAACCCATACTCCCTTACCCCCAACCCTATTCGGGTTGACACTTTGACCATACTCCCTTTTCATCCCACACTCACTATTCCTGTTCATCCGACTTCCTGCCATCATTGGTAGCCACCACTTTTTAGCATGTGGCTTCTTATTCGATCATTTACCATTCTTCTACAGCTAGATATTTTCATTTTTCTACTCTCTGTGTTCCTATCGCCATTATTTGCTGCTTCAACTTCTACAGGATCTTCTCCTCTGCCAGTCATGGTGGCCACCACCTTTTAGCATATCAAACAACAGGATTGAAAATTCAATTTCCACAAAAAAAAATACTTATTTGTGAATTGATTTTAGTAAACAAAAAATCTAGTGTTCTGTCAACTGATGCCGTTTGTGAATCGACAACATCAGTTACTAATACCCTAGTCATTCCTGAATTCATAACAAACCCCAATACCTTCTCAACCCCATTCTTGATTCCTGCCCGATACCCGAACTTTAACCAAATGTCCCTTTATATCTTCATCTCTTCACTAACATCCTTCTACAAACTTGACATTATACGGTTTATACCCACTGGTTTCAGATTGAGAGAAGATAATGACCATCTTAGAACAAATCTAATACCCTTTCTTGTGTTCGTTTATGATCAGTTGTCTAAAATATCCTAGAGATCGGGTATGAGCATTGTTAACATGAATGCGTGACAAACTCATTTGAATATTTCTTAAAAGTAAGATTTTTTTTAGGAAGTGGACAACTAAATCCGGATTGAAGGAGTATCTTGGATAAACCTGTTAATTTCTCCATTATGTCAGAACAAGCTCAACTTCCATGTTCCAACTCAAATTTGAGCTCCATCCCTTCTTAGTTTTAACCAATCTTTCAGAAGACTACTGTCAAAGTACCCAATACTACCGACACAGTAGTAGAACAACTGTCCATATCATCCTAATCTTTCTTTATAAAAAATGTACCTGTGTCTTTGCAAAATCTGTGTCTTCGTCCACCATTTTAAGAACTTCATCACTATGCTCTTGAAACTGTGTCGCAATGCCTACTGCTGCAACACGATTTTCAAAACTCATAGGAAGATCTGCACTGCAGAAAGGTTGTATTATTATTAAACTGGGTAGAGGAAGAGCTCTCAGATACTATGGTTCAGAAAAGTTCCCATGAAACCCTATGCAAACATGATAATGAGAAAGAAAACACGGCACACGGGTTCCAAAATCAGGGTATGGTTGTAAAAATTGACCGGAGTTCCCAAGTCTAAAAAGAAATATGCATGAGTATAAAATAGTAAGCATATTAAGTTGCAAAAATATAAGTATAATATATTTATAGGAGCAGGAATATTTTCTATATAATTTGTAGCTATCTAAGCAATATTGGAAGGTGTACCTCAAATTAATTGCAATGCGATCTAATAAATGCTCACGGACAGCACCCTCCTCAGGGTTATATGTAGCTATTAGCAATGGTTTGCACGGATGTCGAAAGCTAATACCTTCTCTTTCTACAATGTTAACTCCCTCCGTCAACACATTCAGAAGTAAATTGCCAATGCCTTCATCCAGTAGATTGATCTCATCAACATATAAAACACCTCGATGAGCTTCAGCAAGAAGGCCAGGTTGAAAAACAGTTGTTCCAGATTTCACAGACTCCTCGACATCAACAGATCCAATCAATCTATCTTCTGTAACACCGAGCGGAATCTGCAAGACTAGCTGAATTCTCTAAATGCTCAACAGAAACAACTGACTGCATGAAAAAGTTTCTAGTAGTAAAAAAACCTGAATAAATGGTGATTTAACTATCTCAGTCTTGATATTTCCAGCAGAATCATACTCCACTCTACCAGCAAGTCCATCTTCCCACCTTCATTGAACTTATTACATTTAAAATTTCAAAGCAATAAAGCTGAAACTTTAACAACAGAATGGGCATAATGGCAAGTTCAATAATTCCATTGTTAACTTACTCTTCATGACAGTTAGGATCGGCATTCGCAAATGAGCCTTTAACTATTTCAATTGGAGGAAGAATTGCATTCAAACCACGAGCCATCACAGTTTTTGCCGTCCCACGTCTTCCAGAAATTGCAATTCCTCCAATCTCACGGTCAATGGCCCCCAGTAGAAGAGCAGTTTTAATGACATCCTGATGATGCATTGGATTCAGAACACTGGAATCCGTTTGTGAAAACCAAAAAAGGTCTACCACTATAGTTAACTAGTTGAATTGCAGCAAATTTGAGAATTCTAGATTAATATGTCACATCACAGGGCTAGAACATCCCGCGCTTACATGGATTTATATATATCTACTCAAACAAACACATACCTGTCCGACAACGGCAGCTAAAGGGAAGTGCCGCCTTCCGTAAGACAATGTATGGGCGGGAGGCTTGTCCGGAAGAGCGACGGCGGTTCCATTTCCGGAGTCGGAAGTTGATGCACTCGCATTGATTCTCAAGAGAAGTTTATCCCGTCGCCTTGAAGGCCTTAGGGAAGGGGGAGCAGAGAGAATTGGGAGCAGAAAGTTGAGAGAGGAAGAGCGCCGAGTAGTTGAGAAGGACGGAGCATAGGTCCGATTCGCGGGTAAACAGGAAGACAGCACCATTCCCCCGTTCAGTTTTTCTGAGAGAGAGTAGAAGAAAAGAAGTGGAGGGAGCGAGTGGTGGATTGTTTTCTTATCTTTGGTTTGCCATTGCTGAGCGGAGCCATTTGTCCGTACGCGGCTATTTACATTTTGGACCATGCTACACTTACATAAACAAATATACCCCATTTGTACACCACAGGTTTGCACAAACATTTCGATAGTTTACACCGACACAAGTGTTGGTGCGTTAATAAAAATTCACACGGACACAAATGTTGGTGCGTTTAACAAAAATTAGTTTTACACCAACACAAAGTATTGGTGCAAAACTGCGGGGTACAAATTGGGGTACAAAACTTGGGGTACACATAGGCCTTGTTTGGATGTTAGCGGTTAGCTGTTGGTAGTTGGCTGTGTGTGTTGGCTGTTTTGAATGGCTGATTGAGTTAGCTGTTTTGACCAGCGGATTGTATTGGCTGTTAGGAAAAAATTGTTTGGTAAATTTAGTTGTTCATAAACAGCTGTTTGCAATGAAAATTACATATTTAGACATGTCTCCAAATATGTTGCTTAATTTTTCTTAAGGATGTGTTAATTACTTCCTTCGTCCAGAAATATTTTTCCCATTTGACTTTTTTTGGTCAAAGTTTGTAAACTTTGACTATGATATGTGGAAAAAAGCCAATGTATTAAGATATAACTTTAATATGAATATATTCATTTTGAAATATAGTTTTTAAATATCAAATTTTTTNTGATAACAATAACAACCTAGTAGGATCCCAGGAATGTAGGATCAAGGAAGGGTGTTGTACGCCGTTCTTACCCATACTCAGAAGTAGAGAGGATGTTTCTTAAATATAAAAACACATAATTTTTTTTGAAAGTTATTCTTGAACACTTAGAATTTAAACATTATTTATTTTCTATAAATATTTATAATCATTTCATTTTAAAATAAAAATTTAAAAATATGATGCTAAAAAAAGAGTAGTGTACTATAAAAATTATTGAAATGAAGAAACATGTCTATGATAAGAAAAAGAAAGAAAAAGAATGCTTTGATAAAAAAATGGCGATGATGGGGGCATCTCTTTTTTGGGAACGGCTCAAGAAGGGCAAAAAATTAAATATATGCAATCAGCCAATTAGAAATGCTACTCATGTTGGCAGTTCAAATTTCGGCAGTTCGTGGCCAACAGCTAATTGCAAAAGCCAGTGTCCAAACAATTTTTTTGGTAGATTAAAAAGTCAAAAAAGCCACTCATGGTCAAAACATCCAAATGCTACCTCAACAGTCATTTACCAAACATGGCCATAGCATAATCCTTACATTTTTAAGGCAACTATTGACGATTTGACGGAGGATTTTGTACCAGAGTTAGAGGAGTTAGAGGGATACAAAAAAAAAGTTGAATGTTGGAAAGAAATTGGGAGAAATTGGAAGTAACGAAAGGACTGAAAAAACTGGAATAAATTGAAAAAAATTGTAAGAAATTGGAAGAAACTAGAAGGTTCTGAAAGAACTAAAAAAATTAGAAAAAATTAGAAAATATAAAAAAAATTATTTTTTTGTGTTTTTATATTATTCTCATTCTTATTTTTGTTGTTATAAATTATCATTATTATTATTCTTATTATTATTGTTATTGTTATTGTTATTATTGTTATTGTCCACCAGTCAAATTACACGAAAAAGATTCTGAAGCGGTTTTACATGGATAAAGCACATCCTCTCACATCTCGGATGGTTGTCCGCTCTCTCAATGTGCATGATGATCCTTTCAGACCTCGTGAAGATGATGAAAAAATACTTGGTCGCACTGTGTTTGGCTAACAAGTTTACTAAGGATAAAATATCTGGTCGAGTGTTGTTTGCTAGATACATCAAAGCTCCAATAACACACAAGTTGTGTGTTATTGGAGCTTTGATGTATCTAGCAAACAACACTCGACCAGATATTTTATCCTTAGTAAACTTGTTAGCCAAACACAGTTCGACACCGACTAGGAGGCATTGGAATGACATTAAACACATTTTGCATTGGAATGACCTTGGTCTATTATACCACAAAGGTGTCAAGGCCACTCTTGTTGGATACGCTGATTCAGGATATTTATCTTATCCACAAAAGGAAAAATCTCAAAGAGGATAAATGTTTAATTATAGAGATATCACAATTTCATGGAGATTGATGAAGCAAACTTTGACTGCTACATCATCAAATCACGCAGAGTTGATAGCTCTCTATGAAGCAAGTCGAGAATGTTTATGGTTGTGAACAATGATCTAACACATTTAGAGCGAATGCGGTATAAAAGCAATCACTAGTCACCCGACTCCTATATATGAAGATAACACAATATGCATCGCTCAAGTTAAAGGAGGCTACACCAAAGGCGACAGAACCAAGCATATATCACCGAAGTTTTTCTCAACTCATGGTCTCGAGAAAGACGGAAAGGTTGACATCAATCAAATCAAGTCCAGTGAGAACCCTGCTGATTTATTTACAAAAGTGTTGCCCCCGAAGAAATTTGAAGAACTCCTACACAAGATTAGCATGCGTCGCCTCCATCAATTATGCTAAGCTGAAGGTGACAAATTTTATGAACTGTACTCTTTTTCCCTTGATCAAGTTTTTATCCCACTAAGTTTTTTCTGACAATATTTTTAACGAGACTGTACATAAAATTAGAATGGTTTTATAAACTATTCCAATTTTACGAAGTGCCCATTATCAATTGAAAAATGAACATTCAAAGGGGACTGTTATGAAATTAATGATTGTTTATTTATTCAATTAATCAAGCCTACTTTCTAAGATAGTAGATTAAAACATCCATTGTAGAACAATATTTTTGTACAGTCTTTCCCACGTCCTTCCCACTTGTATTTATATTCATACTAAGTTTCTCTACTATAAATAGAGGCTTAATATCCATGTAAATATACCATTAAGATTAAGATCAATAGAATTCAGAAACATATTTCTCTCTTATCTCTGAATATTTTCTCTCATTTCTAAACATGCCAATAATACTTCCACCCTTTTTGAAATTTTTGAATTTTAAATTGTTGGCACAAAAAGTGATTCATGGCACTAATACTTCCGCCTATTCACTGTTTTTTTAAAATTGAAATTTTAAGGCCCACCAATTTTAAGAATTCTAAATTTTAGAATGGTGGCACAAAATTCATTAAATTAATAATCACACCTACAAAAAAGAGGAGTGCTAGGGGAACCCCGCTTGAAGTATACTAAGTGTATACCAAGACAAAAATAGAGACACACACCAGTAGTTGAAACAACAAAAACTACCATCTCCTCATTAGGCAATGAAGCCTGCAAAATTTTGCCGGCGATTTAAATTATAAGTTAAAATTCAACTATTATACTCCTCATAAGCAAAATACAAGATAAAAAGAGGAAAGATGGGTTCATACAGGATCATGCTCGCCGACTAATAATACTAGTGCAAGACAACCTCGACGCTCAGCTTCGTGGCCCAATCTTTCGGTTGCATCAATTGCGTTTCCTGGAGCGTATATGATCAACAATAGCTTGGTTTTCGCCTTCTCCTCCATTATTGTCCGTGTTTTTCTTTAGTGGGAACTTCTGTTATGGACTCAAAGGGACTTCATACTCCAAATAAGAAATAAGCTCAAAAGGATTGAAAGTGCTCCAACTAGAGCAATGTTTTCCAATTTGGTCTAATCTTATGGTGTTTTTGTGAGCTTGAATTTGAATTTCAAATCAGGATTTGATTCAAATTCCTTGTTTGGAAACTCAAAAAATTTAAATTTAGATTTAGATCAAATTCTTCTAATTCAGAATTAAGCTAATTACAAATCCACACCTCTCCTCATGTCATTTTCAAATTCAAGCTCAACTTCTCTTTAATTTAATTTATGGGATTGACCACAAGGTGTTTGACGCAAAATATGGAGCATAATGTTGGGAATTAACCGCATGAGATACATTCTGCCTAATATCAACCAACCTCTGGGAACAACGGAGTAATTAATGGATGGAGACAATATGTTAAAAAGTAAAACCCATTTTCTACCACTGGACTCCTACTTAATTGGAAGCAAAAACTTACTTGTACACCACACTTTAATCTAGCGACACAAACAATGCTTGTTTGTGTCGTTCAAAGTTTGTGTAGTCTAAGTGTCCGGTGCCATCGTTCAAATACGGAGTATAAAAAAGAGAGCCGCTCATACTTACAGACATTTCCTCTCATCTCTGTGAATCCATCCCAGATATTAATGAGAAAATGCCAACTCAAAAAAAAAACATCATGGATAGTTGAAGAGATTTACAAGGTTAAATTCTAATACGGAGTATAATACTACTCAATGTGTGTTGGGTCAAAATTATAATCTACTCTCCTAGATTGCCTTCTTCCTTCTCCTAGTATTTATAACCTGCCTATGGGTCGCAATCGGTCATCAATTTGTAGCATTGCTTCCAAAAATGGCCGAGTTTTTTGTTTTGTCAATCTCATTTCTCTAGTTAACTGGCATTGCCTTGTCTAAAATGGTTATCATTACAATTCACAGGTTCATGAACTTACAGTGATGATCATTTCGCCATGTTGATTCTGCATGGGTGATTCGATCTGTCTTTGATATAATTCTGGGTTAACTAACCCACAAGATCCTCCTGTACATCAATATCTATTTTACAAGAATTCTCAAAGTCCTTTTGTTGCCAAAACTGGGTCCTCCTGCACTTCAACATCCATTGCTTCTGTCCACTGTTCCACCATGACAGGCTCCCCTCCACCATCTGAATTGTGATGTTTTTCAAGAGAAGAATACTTCGATTGTAAATGTGACTGGTCTTTCATTCCCATAGAATTCACGTTTGAATATTCAATCTTCACATCGCTCAAATCAGCCATTTTAACCACCCTTCTGCTGCTTGTGAACATAAAAGCACAAACAGGAGCGCTCTTGTTACGACATTTATGGCACTTAAATCCAATTACATTACCAATTCTTTCAGATGTAAGACCAAACGCATCTCCATGGAACCAATCTGCAAATCATATATAAGAAAAGTTCAAGGGCATATGTGCTTGCAACTTGCAAGTGAATATGGCATATGGGAAACATGTAAATGCATGCCTAGTTGCTTTACGACCTCACTATTAAGATAAAATCTGGTTTCGAACTATGGAAGTTCATCCAACATCATGCAATTTGAGAAAACACGTGGCATATGGAGGGTTTGTCATTCCTGCAATTTCACAAATCAGAGATTCCCATGAAAGCTCCTAATTTAATTTTTTTAGATCCCAAATTTGGGTTTCACACTCAATTCATGGGAACTCCCTTATCCTTGGGAGTAAAAAGCCATTCCAAATGATATCTAAACATTAGCTAAATGCAGTTTACAAAAGTTACACTTCCTGAAAGTCTTGATTATTGAATTCAAGGAATATCACATAGTGCGTATGGCGTATGGTATGGGTGGAAGAAAAAAGAGTGCTAATATTGATTCATTGAAATTTTTAAATTGACGGAAACTAAATGGAATACATACCTCCACATAATTCACATGCAATGTAATTTACGGAAGTTGTAGATTCAAGTTCACTACAAAGACCACATTTCGGTGAATCAATTGTGCCACCCAACTCGCCCGAAAGAACAAGAAGTTGTTTTCTTCTAAAAAGTTCTACTCGATCATCATTAGGCTTCTGTGACAACAGGAGACCATTCAGCCAGTAAATACGACAGAACTTTGTTCTCTTCTTCTGCCAGGGAACTTCTACTGGTTTCTTTGAAGTATCTTTTCTTGATCTCATTTTCTTTCTCCTTGGGCACCCAATCTTCTTGTTAGCGTTTTTCTCTAGCACTTGTAAACTTTTAGTTTTCCTAACGGAACGACGTAAGGGAACAACAACAACAGAAACTTTGGTGTTGTTTTGAGACTGTGACTGTTGTTTATCCCTAGTACCCCTAATCTTTGTTCTTCGGCACATAGACCTCAATAATTTGGATGCTTTCTTATTCTTTTTTGATACCAAATTTCCCTTCTTGGAAGTGCTTTTTTGATGTTTTCCAACCATACACATGTGGCACGTATAGATACGTTCAGATGAAAAAGCTGATCCAGACCCTTTCACGTGTCTTTTGTGGAAAAAACCTGAAAAAACATGCAGATGGCCGATTTTGTATGAGCCATGAGGTATTATTGTTGTCAAATATTAAAGGGTATACATGTAGAGGAATGGGAAAGTTAAAAATAACCTCCTAACAAACATTGTTACTAGACCATTCACAACCACATATATTATTATTATCATTATTAACATTATTATTATTATTACTATTACTATTATTATTATTATTAGGAAAAATTCACATGAGCACTCCAAGAAATGATCGATTTTATGTTAATACTCCAATGTTCAAAAATTGACGCTCTTAGAAATTACTTTTTACACCTTTACTAATGTGTGGCAACTCAACTCAATTAATGCAGGTTGCCAACTCAACTAAATACGTGGCAAATTCAAATGCTGATTGGACAATTGTTAACTATGAGTTGTTGGAAACTAATAAAAATTAAGGAAAATACCTTAAATGTGTTATAACTAGACCCCCTTCCCCATTGGTTTAAAACTGAAAATTGAAATTTGGTAAAACTGAAATGTATTTATATACTAATGAGATAGATTGTGAATATCAGACAAAATTAGGAAATTATTAAAGTCAATATTCTATAAACAAATAAACATTCGTTGGATAGGTCTTGAAGACATAAATCCATCTGTATATCGTAAGAAAGAATCTGAGTTACTGATTTAGAGTTATGACCATTTTGAAAATATAAAAAAGTGAAAATCTAAACTGAACTGGTTGGATCAACAACAGTAGATCAACAACAAGGCACCAAACCCATTGGGAAAATATCCTCTCAGCCAACCCTCCATCCCATGGAACGTCTTGTGACGTAGAATTGTGCACAAGAACATAACGGCTTTATGCATGAATTTATAGTTTTAAATCATTTAAACATTTAATAGACAGTTAGACACTATAAAACTCAAGCCACTAACTAAAACCTAGTTGGGATTAAGGTGGTGATTATGGGCCGCTGTAGAAGCAACCTTCAGGATTCAGACTCCAGAGAGACCCAGGTAAGTGTTACAGACTTCGAATAATTATATTTGAGCACATACTATAACAGCTGAACAGCATCAAATTTGCTTTGGTACTACACTGCAAGAACTATACAAGGCATAGAAGCCTACTCCCAAGTGATCAAAGAAAAATATCCTAACCTACTGCAGCTAAACCCCTGGGTTTCTAATTCAGGTAACATCATGCCAATCTCATAGTGAGAAACTACTTGCTTCTCTATTTAATTGTTTAAGGCACAGAACATTCTTTAAAGAAATGTTATACTCTATCCATAAATTATTACCCACTTTGATCAGACAAGGGATTTAGGGAAATGAAACTTGTGTGGCTGAGACTTATTTAAAAAAGAAAAAACCACATTGCATTGTTTGAAAGGAAGTGAGTGATAATTTAGGGATGGATGAAAAAGGAAAATAGGATGAAAATTTAGAGACAGGGAATATTTGGTTACCTTTGCAGTCCGAACAGCTAACAGCTTCGCTGCAAAAGGAACAACAAAAATGTTAATTAACTAGTGGATACAAACTGAATATCATACTAAAAGAGCCAATGATACATTCCCTCTCTAAGTGGAAGAATAAATGATGCAGCCCTGCTATAGTTATTATAGCTTAAGGGCTTGTTTGGTTGGGAGAACAGGGAGGGGAAGGAAAGGATGGGAAGGCTTCCCTTCACCTTTTTTTGGTTGGAAAAGGGGAAGGAAATCATTAATTTTTATTTTTTATTTAATATTTTTTTATTAATTTCATTTATTTATTTATTTATTTTTATTAATAATAATATTATTATTATTATTAACTATAAAAATAATATCAATAATAACTATTAAGATTATAACTATTATTATTACCAATATGGGCACCTACGGTGCTTCGTTGGTAAAAGTGATGGTTCCTACCCACCCTGCACCCTGCCCGCTAAATCGCTGATTTGGATATATTATTATCATTATCATTACTTATTTATTGGCTCGGTTCTTTCGACAACTTCTGTTTTAATTGCCTACGGTGCTCCATTCGAAAAATGATGGTTCCTAGCCCCCCTCCCCAAAAACGCCAATTGGCTATAATGACAATGTCAGCATTTTCGGGAGGGGGCAGGGGTGTACTGGGGTGGGGGCAAGAACCATTAATTTTTTGAACAGAGCATCGTAGGTGTTGTTATATTATGATAACAAAAGTTGTTGTCAAAAGAATTGAGCCGTTTATTTATTTACTTAATTATTTGTAATTTATATTTTCTATTTTATTTTTAATTATAATTTTTTTTATTTAATACTTTTATTATTATTATTATGATATTTTATTTTTTAATTTATAATTACGGAGTGTTTTTTTGTTATTTTTTATAATCATTATTTATTTTACTTTTTTTACATTTATTTTATTTATGATGATTATTATTATTATTATTTAAAATTTATTTTTAATAACAAGATGTAGAGAACATTGACAGAGAAAGTGGCTCTAGCTTCTATTCATTTGGTGGGAAAGCCTAGGCTATGGTCTGAAAGTTATGGAAAAGCTAGACCTAATGAAGATTGGGAGGATTTTATTAAGGATTTGTATGCCAATTTAAAGATGATAGACAAGATGTGTGTTCAAGAGTCAGTAGTGAGGCTGGTCACAAGTCAGGGGTTATTCACCAAGCAATAACACCAAGACACGTTGGGCACTCAAGCCAAATACACACAAGTATGATAAATCTTTGAGTGATATTAGTAATTTCCCTGTTGGATCTTCGATGGATAAAGCTTTGCAAGAGAAATTGTAGCCTCATGTTACAACTGAGATAAAACTTCTTTCGTCGGGCCATTCATACTCAGCTGCAAACCTCCTAAATGTAGATCATGTACTGCCAGTTAGTAGAGAGGTTTCTTTGAAAAGGTTTACTAACAATTCCCTGGATTTTGTTGGGTTAAAAGAGTCTGTTGATAGTGTTGTTGGCAGAAATCAGAAAAAGATTGCTACGGGATGGTGTGACTACAGTGAGGAGTCTCTTGAAAAGGGTCAACAGTGGGAACACAAGGAAACTAAGTTGTATCTAGAAGTCTTAGGTAAAAATGACAAGGGTCAAATTGAGATGTCTGATTTGGATGCCACAATTAAGAGGGAGCTAACAATGCCAACTCTTGCCATAGATGGAGGTAAGAGAGTCCTGCTACAACAAGAACCTACCATGCCTCCGAAATGCCGTCTGGACAGTAGTGTTGTAGTTCTCACCAGTTAAGATCAGATGCCACCAACTGATGTACTTCAGAAAGAAGAACTAGTATGGACACGTGAAGCTTCTGATGCAATTGCAGAGCTAAGGAAGGAATATACTACTGCTCCTGTGTATGCTGATCCAGAGTGCACTCAATCAAACACACAAGCTGCTAGCAGGAGCTGGAGTGATGCAAAGACCAGTTCCAAGTATTCTGACCTCTTCCAGGTTCAAGCTAAGCTCTTCAAAAGAACACAATAATTGGTTTTTTGGGCCGGACAACCAGTGCAAGATGCTACACGCAACAAGTCAGCTAGGACAAAATGGTTAGTTCCTTGTGCAAGCTGCTACATGGGAATGGCCTAAAAATATAGTTATGAGAGGTAAAGCCATTAGGCTTCTTATGGATTACAAAAACATAAATCACTTCTTGTACAAAGATCTTGACAAAAAATTGGAATGTCTGCTGGAACCCTCTAGTGCGTTCAAGTTGGGGATACTGTTAGAATGGAATTTAAAAACCTTTCTTGGGCCACAACCACAAGCTTGAGCTTTTGGTTGAATTGGTTACTTTACTTGCTATCGGAGCCTTGTTGACTAATAGGTCATTTGTTCAAAACTCAGTGCTACCCCGTTTTAAAAAAATTAAGGTTCCACGTGCAAGGCTTGAAAAGACTACGCCATGCACATGAGGGGGCATGTTAGAATGGAATATAAAAACCTTTCTTGGGTCACAACTACAAGCTTGGTCTTTTGGTTGAATTGGTTCCTAGACTGTTACTGATGCTTATAGCCGACCATGTACTCAAATCTGGTAAAAGTTCAGATGCTCACTGAAAAATACACATTTCACTTATGGGAGGTTCCCTATGGGAGTTGGAGGATATGACATGGTGTTGGATGAGCAGTGGCTGAGCACAGTATGCAATTCCAAACATATGCCTTTTAAATACTTGGACAAAAGTCAGGTTTCGAGAGAAGCAAAACAGAAGAGCTTTTGGCTATTAAAGCGAAGGATTTATGCACTTTGTCACCGGCATTGGCTCGTCCTTATACGGCATTGGAGGGATATCTCTATGGCTGTTACAGAATGCTTGTTTAATTCCTCTGGAGAGTCAAGTGTTGGACTAGTGGGTAGATCTCAACAAAAAAGAGAAGAAAGGGACAAGCAGCCGAAGTTTCATCTACATGGAATGACTTACAAACTGCTGCTGTTGAAGGCATTTGGAGGAAGAATGCCTAACCCTTCTTGGTTTCAAGGAGTAATGGAAAGTTTCAGTTCCAAGTATTCTGGTCACCTTCAAGTTCAAGCCAAAGTAGCGCAGCCTACAAAGAAATCTGCTTCTAGTACTACCTAACACTCCATCCTTGAAGCAAAGTCTCAGTGTGGACTCCTTGCCAACATCATTGAGGGTAGGGGTGTTCATATATAGGTCTGGACCGGAAAAACCGACCGAACTGGACCGATCGGTCCAGACCGAACCCGAACCGAAAGGATTTCGGGTCGGTCTTCGGTCTGAAGTATTTTAAATTTCGGGTTTTGGTCCGGTCCGGTCATTACCCGACTGCCATTCGGTCCGGACCGAGATAGACCGATAACTTCCTTGTTCCTAATTTTAAGTGATCCGTTCAATAATCACCACTCAGGCCCAACCTTATCCGTAAAGACCTATCACCAATTCACCATCGTCCATCGCCGATTTGCCTTGTTCGAGAGCAGAGATTCGCCGATTAGCCTTCCTCTTTATCGCCACTCGCCAGCGCCAAATCTCCTCGCAGAGTCCTCAGTCGCGACTCTCGGCCACTGGCCAGCGCCGACTCGGCGAATCCCTCGCCTGAAATACTCAATCGCCGAGAGCCTGAGACGCAGACTCCCTCAATCCCAATTGAATCAGGTACGACTCATCTCGTCTCCCTCGTCTCCTTCTCTGTAATCCCTACTCTCTATTTGTAGGGCTTAGCCAAATTCTATTATTCTTAGACTTTATTCATAGACTTTGTTTCCAATTATTCCCTGATTGTCAATGGTTTAAAAAAATAGCAATGTATTATTTGAGAGTTCTCTGATTTTTAAGTTGCAAAAAATCAGCAATGTCAATGGTTTTAAAAAAACAGCAATGTACTTTTAAGAAGGCTACATGAGAGATTGACAGCACTTATTGGACCAAATACTGGAGTTTGGAGTGTTCTCTGCAGCATTTTTAAGCTGCACAGCTGATTTTAAGATGCACAACTGATTTTTAATATATTTTCTTCTTTTAATAATCCCTTGCATTTTGTATTACATTGCAGTTTACATGGGTAATGGGTCCAAGTGCAATTGAGAAAAAGCTTGCTAGAAAAGGGATGAAATGTGTTTTTTGCTCTCTACTTTATTATCCAAGTGCAGTTTTTTCAGTTTCATACATGTCCATCCCTACAACCCATGAGAGCATGAAGATTTGAGTTGAATTGTTATTTTTAAATTAATTGCTACCCTACCCCCCAATTCCCCATGACTTTTTGTTTTGTACAAATGGTGAATGGATGTTGCTACTTACTATTTCTTTTATGGAATTACATTTTGTAGTGTTTTGGTTGTATAAGATATAAAAAATTCAACTAAAAAAATAAAAAAATCGGTCCAATCGGTCTTTTCGGGTTCGGTCTAAGAGATTTTGGTCCGGACCGGTCCAAGACCGACTGAGAATCGGTCCGGTCTTTGGTCCTATTTTTTTCCAATTTCGGTCTTCGGTCCGGTCCAGTTCGGTCCGGTCCGGTCCGGGACCGATGAACACCCCTAATTGAGGGTGCTTGCTAGCCAAGGATGCTACTGGGGTGGCCTGAGGATAGCACGAGCAAGTTTCCAAGACTTCAGCCTTGAGGACAAGGTTGTCTTAACTCTTAAGGGGGGAAGTATGATACAGGAGGTTACTAGGTTAGAGGGTAGGAATTGGGTACGGTCTTTAGGCCAATTAGCTATATAAATATCCCTTCCCCCCTCTCTGTGATGGATCAAGAAATAAAATAATCAAATCTTCTTCTCAACTATCATCTCTCTTGTTTATCTCTCAGTTCTCTAATCTTCAATTCTTGTTCAGCTTACAGCTTGATTCGAAGCTCTCCTTCTCCATCCAGAATCAAATCTTGACTCTCACCTAGTACCTAAGGTAGACAGGTTTCGATATCTTGGCTCAGTAATCCAGGCTGATGGGGAGTTAGATGGGGATGTTGGATACCGTGTTGGAGTGGCTTGGGCCAAATGGCGGTTAGCTTCAGGGGTGTTGTGTGATCCGAAGATTTCGCCCAGAATGAAAGGTAAGTTCTATCGATCCGTAGTCAGACCTGCTATGTTATATGGGGCGGAGTGTTGAGCGGTTAAGCTGCATGCGGCGGAGATGCGGATGTTACGATGGATGTGTGGGAAGACAAGGTTGGATAGGATTACGAACGAAGTCATTCGACGTCAGGTAGGCATGGCACCGGTGGTAGATAAGTTGCGAGAAGCGAGGTTGAGATGGTTTGGCCATGTGAGACGGCGGGATGCTGACGCCCCTGTACGGAGATGCGAGAGGATTACGGTTATCGGGGGAAGTAGGGGAAGGGGTAGACCCAGGAAGAATTTGAAGGAGGTGATTAGGCAGGATTTAGGACTTCTCTACCTGACTGAGGATATGGCCTTAGATAGGAACCTTTGGAAAACTAGGATTAGAGTAGCTGGATAGGAGCTCAGTGTTGTAGAGGTTGTTTTGTAGTGTGTTGTATTTGTTTGGAATCTTTTGCTATTGCTTGTACTTGTTGCTTGTACTTGGCGCTTTATCTGTGCTTTATTGTGTTCCCTTCCATATTTTTGTGCAGGTGGAGCCGGGGGTCTCTTGGAAACAGCCTCCCTACTCCCGAGTAGGAGCAAGATCTGCGTACACACACCCTCCCCAGACCCTACTGTTGTGGGATTCACCTGGGTTGTTGTTGTTGTTGTCATCCCAATGTGTTCATCTCCTTTTTTGGTCGTCCCAACGTATTTATCCACTTTCCTTTTAAAGTAACTTTAAGGATGCTTTCCTTGAATCTTTTTCCCTAATAAAACTCTACTCTTACTCATCCCATTAAAAAGTAAGGGCAAACTTGTAACACCCCAACCCGTATATTCTTCTCCTTGGTTCATGTGTCAAACAAGAAGTGGACAAATGCATTGGAATGAAGGGATTCATGGAAAAAGAAGTGGTAATACCCTATGAATAATTCATGCAAAACTAAAAGAAAAACATGCTAGGATTGATTGAAAACGCTTTTTAAGTGAAAACAGAGTATTCAAGCATCGAGTTTAGGAAGGTTGCAGAAGCTCAAAATTAGAATTATTAGTAGTTTTGTGTGATTGTCATATTCTTTGTGTTCTACATTCAATTTCAGCATCCTAGAGATTGCAGCTAGGATAATTAGGGTTGTAATGGGTATACACATAGATAGATACTCCAATGTATTGTTTTTTCTAATCTTTACTGTTAGAATATAAGAAACATTTCCTGGGCCATAACCATAAGCTTGAGCTTTTGGTTGAGTTGGTTCCTTAACATGGTATCGGAGCCTTGTTGACTAGGAGGTCACGGATTCGAAACTCGGCGCCACTCAGTTTCTTTAAATAAAAAAATTAAGGTTTCACGTGCAAGGCTCGAAAAAGACTACGTCTGCACGTGAGGGGGCGTGTTAGAATATAAGAAACATTTCCTGCGCCATAACCAAAAGCTTGAGCTTTTGGTTGAGTTCGTTCCTTGACATTTACATTCAATAATTGAAATGCACACTCTGAATTCTTTTCATGTTATTATTCCTTTACACATATTAAAACTAAAATAGTTCTTGTATAAGGCTAACTAGCTAGATGCTTGAGCACACATAACAAGTGCAAAGACAACAGTAATGTTGATATACCTGATGAGTACTCCCTTATTACAGTGCCCACATTGATAATTCTCAGCTTTCTCTGCTTTTGAGAAAAGATACGAGAATCCCTTCTTGAATGGTTTCTTTATTATTCCTCTAGGCTCCCGCAGCTTGGGAGAAGTCATCTTACTAGAAATGCGAGCAATTCTTTTTTCCTCAAAATTTTTCAGGAGGTGCAATGGAACATAGGTTTCCTCCAGCCAATACCTTTTCTTTTCACTTGATGAGTCTTCAACCTTGGATCCGTATTTCATAACAACGTCAGGGATAAACCTTCTTTTGCCAAAATCGAGAAGATATTTAACAACTGGTCCCTTAGAGCACTTCCGCCGAATTATAACCTTTTTGAAGAATCTGTTTGACTTTTGAGATTCCTTGTCAATCATTGATAGAATATTTGCATTCTCAATGTCATTCCATCTTATATTTGCATCAAGATCTCTCACCTAATAACATAAGTAAAACTGATAAGCCCAAAAATGTAATCAGATTGCACAATTTATAACTATTCAGTAATTACTCCTGATTCAATGAATAAAGGGATAATTGAAGCGTTTGTATTGGAAAATAGAGAAATATTACTGTTTTCCTCATGGAGCAAATAATCAGCAATATGTATGTATGCATTTGCCTACAATAAACAATCTTTAATCTGTACAAGGGACATCAACATTTCATCCAAAATATTTTAAGTCAATTAATTACTGAAATAACAAATACATGTGAATATACCAGAAGAGCAAGCTGCTCCACGCTCCTAGATGCCTCGACAGCAGCTCTCCAGACCAGAGACTTACTTCTCTTGGCAAAATCTGGACCATCCGGATATAATATGCCTGGTATCTTCTTACATCCACCTGCACTTCATTGTATCAATTTATTAGTAAAACCTACTTAATTGAAAAGATCAATCAGGCCACATATAAAAAGGGGTAAACAATCATCCTAACCCTGTCGAGCAGCTTTGCAAGCCAATGAACGGGGCAATACTTTCCAACTAAAAATGTGGCGAGAGAGTCTACCACCCCTCCACCACAATATGCGCAATCCACTTCCAGCATTTGAAGATGGATTTGACTCCAGTTCTGAACGCCTGACCTTTTTCATGATGACATGTCTAGTAGACACCCGCATAGATCTGGTCACAACATGACATGCAGACCCCAGTATATCTAAAGAGTCCACATGTTTGAACCAGTCGGCTGAAAGCGCTAGCTCACGAAGGTTTGACTCTAACTGGCAAGAAAAGTAACAGTGTCAGGAAACTACGTGAGTTGTCCCAAAAAACAAAACAAACAAAAACAAAAGCAAAAAATACAGCTTATGTTGGGGGAAGAGAAAAGAGGTCCTTAATAAAGAATTATAAAATTAACATGCTAAAATGATGTGAAAAGACTAAAACCTTAAAAAGCTTATATTTTAGGTCCTGATTTTTCAAAGTAAAATGTTTTCTGTTTCCTAGAAATATAAATGCTAAACCCTCTAATTTTTTCTTTCTAATCAATAATTAGATGCATGTCTCATACTCCTTATGAAGCAACATGAAGGGCATTCAGTGTAAAAACTATTGCCACTGTTTTCTTCATGAATTAGAGTGTTAATTAGATTTATAAAACTAATTGAAACTATATACTTATGCTACCAACCCAACTAGGTGGGATTCAGGTGCTTATAATAATAATGATGATGATAGTTGAAGTATTAGCATAGAGCACACCTTACAACTCATTCAAATTTCAAACAAACACGGCTAGCACAACACCTACAACATTCCAAGCTAACTCTACAACACCTTCCTTGCACATTCCTAGCCTCTTTTACACCTATATAACGGTTTGTTCTTTGCATGTAATCAATTTATAAATCATATGTAACATAAATCTTATTTTCTATATTTGTTATTACTTCTTATTATAATGCTTGTGCTATCTAGCTGGTGGCAGCCAACTAACGCCACTAGCGAGCCTCCTAATATGTTAGTATTTCAGAATCAAGACCATACCTAGGAAAACTATGTCAAATGATACAGAGGAACACTGAAAAAGGTAAAAGAAAAAGGGAACAAGAGAATGAATTTTTCATGTGTCCGTTATAATCTAAGCATATATATATTCATTAAGCCTCACCTTTAGCAATAAAATACTTAGTGATGGAACATCAGATGCTTTGAGAACACTTTTCTTCCAGATTTGTGGGTACTTTGAATTTAACCAAGAACCCAACAAGAGCCCATGTAGACGATTTTCAATGCAAAGGATATGGCATATGACATCACTAAGATGGCCTTCCCTATTTTTTTGTGAACTAACACCTAATGCCTCACTTGAAAAAAATTCTTGGTCTGGGCCAGTGTCATTCATTAAAAACAAGCAGTCCCGTTCACATTCAGGAACTCTGCAAGAGTAACACCATCCACATTTTTCTTTCCTGGCACCAACATCTAATTGTTTAATATTTGGCCAATAGAAGTCAGTAGATTTTTTTGATATGGCTTTCAGCTGAGCTGAAATTACTTCCTCCTCTGATCTTAAAACATTTTCGGTAGACTTATTGTCTGATGGTTTACGGGCTAAATGCTCAACTACTGCCGAGGATATTCGAGCAAAGCTATAAAAGTTCATGTAAGAGTCTAAGCACTGATAGTGTGACATTAGAGCTCCAGAACTTAGTTTCATTGGTCGGTCATCTATGCTTGTGGGTGAATTAAGATGTGCCTCGTCAAGCAAATGGTTTTGTCCATTCTCAAGCTTTCGTGAAAGTTCAGTATCATCTGGCATCCCACTTCCCTTAGTATTTTGATTGCTTATGCATGCTTGAGACAGATTGGCAGCCCCCCTAAGAATGTCCATCTTCGACATAGGGTTGGCAGTCACCGACTTCTCACATCCTAGATCAGCAGAACATGAAGGGATCCTTGGCATTGTCACAGGGTTACTCTCACCAAACCTATTATTGGCATATTGCATTGCAATTGAAGGAGTATCAGTACAGTTCACCCCTTCAACGACAGAGGATACATCCCAAAGTCTGGAAATTGAAGTCAGCAAAGTGTGGTAAACACTTTCAGATGATTTAAGTGCCCCCAAAACTGCAGGCAAATCATTTATGTGGTAGTACTTGAATGATGACTCATCATCCCATGAATCTGACCTGCAAGAATGGAAAATAAAACTTCAAGCCCATTGTGATTCGCTAATTATAAAAGAGAGGACTAGCAAAAATAAAATACAGAGAAACACAAAAAAATAAAGAGTGCATGGTGATTTACACACACACACACACAACTAGATGATAAACAAGGTAGAAAAGAGCCAGCCATAATTTGAGTGGGTTAGCAAACAAAGTCAGACAGCTCACTAAGTGAGATATCTATAGAAAGTAAGCTCATATAAGAGAAGTTGATTTAAAGTGAAACTACCAAAACACACCATGCAAAATGATGAAAGAAATGGAGGTTCATATGAAGTAGATGATACATTAATCATGTAAGCAAGTGCTTTGAAGAGTTGCGTTTTAAAAAGAGAAGCAACAGTGTTTAGGAACACAAACAAACTGTATATACCATTTGCATATATATTACACATTATTCAACATGAAAAACAACTACGAGTAACACCAAATGAGCAAAAGAGAAAATCTGAAGGTACCTTGTTTATTAAAAAGGCATACTCAAGATTAGATGCTTTCGACACCAGCCCTCAGTCTCATTATGACACCTGGGCCATTTGGGGGCCTATTGTGCTCTGCTAGGCCTAGGGTTGGATCCTACCTCCACCCCTTACCCCAGCCGCCTTGGGTGTTTGTTGCTCCCGAACCCCCTACCCCAGGCCCAACAAAGCATTGTAGGGACCCAAATGGTTTCGTTGTCATATTATGATACCGAGGCAAGATGCCAAATAAAATAAGCCCTAAACATATGTAACTCCCTAACCACAAAAGAGCAATATAATTACCACTTAGTCCTGTCAAATTCTAGCATCAGTTCATCCTCCTAGAAGTTGTATTTCGGCCTAGTAGTTATACTATCTAAAAGAGGCTTAAGCACATTGGTATATTACTATACTTCAGTGTTCTGATAAGGTAATGGTGGCATCAAAACCAATAAACAAAACTTAGTATAGTGTGCAAACCAGATACTGTAGATGGAACTTGAAGAATTCATCACTGCCAGTGAAGAAAAGTAGAACACTTCACAAAGATGATAAATAAGGGAATTGTATCCTTTGATCAAAATGTAGCAACAGTTGAAATCAATGAGTATTTGAGTATCCTCCAAACCAAGATTTTGAGACAAAACAACAATGTGCTTCTTACAACAACACTACCCCAGTGCCTCAAAGGCTCCTGCCCAGGGTAAGGGGGTTGGGTGTACACATCGTGACCACTATGTTTAAAACATAGAGTGGCTATTTCTAGATGACCCATGATGATCTTCGAAAGGCATTTACTAACTGTTACTTAACTATAGAGAAGCATAGACTGTTTAAAGAGTAATTTTGCTTTATTCCATCATACCCCAAAGCTAAAAATAGTGAATCTTTGGATCCATCAAAGATGGTGGAAATAACACGACGTGTGTTGTAAATGCAGTAAAACTTTGTTTGCAAAAGCACCCAAAGGCAAGAAGCAAAAAAGAAAAGATGAAAAATAAAAAAAATGTGACATAACTTTATGGAAATATTAAGAAATCATCATCACATTATCACGCAGGTAATCAAGTAACTTTTTACTTGCTCTGTCAATGCTTTTATTTTTAATAAAAGGTTACTACCAAGCTGACTAATGTTGTTTAGATTGACGAATCATATTATTCAACAATTTCATTTATTCCTCAATTACACGTGGTAAGAGAAAATGGCAAGGGAAGCCAATATAATTTGGAAAGACAATGTGAAGGGTATGCACTATTGTTAATAGGGTATGCGTAAGGTAGACCTATCACCTATGGTACCATAGCAAAAAAAGAGTTGCAAAAAATATGATGTAGGTAGTGCAAATTATAAGGAAAAAAAGGTATTTGCATCGTAACTCATGTTGTAATCCGTAATTAATTAGAATTTAGCCCAACTTAATGATTATAATAGTGATTCATTCAAATGGATAACCCATCAAAACTAGATACAAAAATCAAAAAGAGGGTGTCCAGTCACTTTATCATAAAAAATGCTAAATGGTCAATAAAGCTAGTAGTAATGACTAGTGAATGCATCTAAAGCTCTTAACACCAAAACTTTATAAAGGAAGAAACTTACACCAAAAGATAATTACAGCAGTTAAAGTACAGCCGGCCATAAGCATCCATTCCCAACAATTCAGCTCCTCGAACTGAATTCCCCATTTTTATAAAAGGAAACTTTCTATCAATGACACATTCAGGGCAGAACCAATCTCCCTCTGGCAGAAGACTGTTGGCAATACCCACACACTTGGAATGGAAAGCAGCAGGGCAACCATCACAGCATATTAAGTTCCCGTCCATTTTACAAAGGTAGCACTCATCACTGTTCCAATCAACACTTTCATCTACCAGCTCCTCTGTCAAACATGAACCAGTTGCAACATCCGTTGTCGCCCTTCTTCTCTTCAAAGTGTCAAACCTCAAATTTTGATAAAGATCACTGTTTGACTCTCTCATCAATGTTCTCTTATTAAGCTCTGCCCTTATGATCTCAATTTCCATCACATCATCGCAAAGGCAACGTAATATCTCGATCTTCACGGAAGTTGGTTGCTTGTAGTAGTCACACTCAAATAGTTTTAGGCAACAAATATCAAAACCAGATTTCAATCCTGAACTATGCATAAGCAAATACTCAACCATGAAGATAGGCCAAGTGATCATGTCTAGCAAATCCCAATTAAGAGACCTGATTGCAGCATTTAAAGTTCAATAGTCTAAGTGCTGAATATTAAAAAGATTAAATACAAACTGAATATAAATTAGCAGAAAATGGAGATAAATACCTAAGGCATTTAAAAGCAAGCTGAGAACCTTCACTAGAGAGAGTCTCCAAGTGCTTCCTTAGCATTTGTAGAAGAGAAAGGTGAATAGAATCAAATAACACAGTAGGCGTGCTGCATTTAATGGATGCCACAAAGTTCGCCAGCTCGAAGGGACTTAAAAACAATACTGAACTAAATGAACGCAAAAAGGCATACAAGGAGAAGACATCCTGCACAGACAATCCAATTAAATCCAAACTATTTGAAGAAGGTGGCAGCTCAGGCTTTGGGGAGAGAACATTTTGGTCCTCAAAGACTAAATGACCAGATATTGTAATTTTCTCATCCGAACCGGCACTGAGAGCAGGAGATGATGGAGGATCACTGACTGCATCTTCCACTACTGCTTGAGCAATTTTATGTTGAGATGAGGAAGACTCACTTGCTCTACGAGTGCTTCTCCTCAACATTGTATCTATCATACCATGGGGAGCATTGGAAAGCATTCCCCTCTTCCTACAATGTCTTTCTGTTTGCCCACATGATGATACACTGATTACAAAGTCATCTCTGGGAGTTGCCACATCTGCAAAGTCAATGTCAACTCCCTCTAAAGCCCCATCCTCAAATCTATTCTCAACCAAACCACCACACAGATTCCGTGGAGTTTTTTCTGCACTCTTGCCACAAAGTGCCTCGGCATGTGGGCCATTCCCATTTCTTTGAGTTTCTTCATAACTTGAATCGGCAGTTCTAGCCAATGACACATTCAATTCAGTGTCTAAGTTCTTAGTCTCTTCATCCAATCCTAAATTCAAATAAAAAGAATGTGGTTTTGGTTCAGTAAGCTTAGGTACAAGCCCCATTGAATCATTTTTCTCAATATTAATGTTAATTCTCCCATCCTTATCCAACTTTAAATTGATACCATTAGTTCTCTTCGATTTCATTTTAACTTTACCTAAATCATCCTGAGTATTTAATTCTACCACTTTGTTTAAATCCAACCCCTTACTGAAATTGAAGTCCAGATAAACTCCTCTAACACCATTATCTTTATTTGAATCCAAGCCATCATACAAATCTAAATTCAAACAAATTTGATGGTTACGAGGCGAATTAAAATCCAAACCTCCATTTTCCAGACGAGTTTTTTCAAAACACGGACTGAAGTCATCAGAATTAAGTCCCGCGTCACTGTCAGTTGCCGCTGCATTCCCGGCCTGCTCCTGCTCCACACGACGCCTTTTCAGAGGCTTTCTACCAAAACAAGACGACTTCTGGGTGAAGTCAGCTTCAGCAGATTGAGACCCAACCAGAAGAGGAACTAGCTCGGAAAGGTCAAGCTCCTCGGAATCTCCGTCTTCATAAACAACCTTGAAGAATTCACTCTCAGAATCATACGATTTCACAGTACCAGTGAACACTCCGTACCGTTTAAACTTCTTTTTCACTGTTCTTCCCAGGTACTGCTCCATTTCTCCCCAAAATTCTAGGGTTCCTTTCAGCTCGTTTGAAATTGAACTGAAAGTGGTTGATCTCTTCGAAAAGAATGCATAGAGAAAACACAATTGTAACTGCTCCGTGAAACGCAAGTTTGATGTCGACTCTTCCCAGATTCGAATCTCTGAAGAAATGGGCCTAATAGGTAGGTGGGAGCCGGAAACCAAACGGTCAACTCCGGCGTGGGCTGTGGAGTCTTTGGGTCCTTTGGTTCGTGCTATTTTCCTATGCGGGTCTAATGGAGCAAAATAACCCGGCGCCGGACCGGTCAGGAAGTCCAATTCAACTAGGGGTGGGCACGGGTCGAGACGGTTCGGGTCTCTTACAATCCCGCGTCCTGTCTCGTTATATTCAAACGGTTCGGAACGGTTCGAACCACAAGTCTATCCCACTTTATCCTATAATTTTTGAGACCGGGACAAAACGGAACGGATTCGGATTGTCCTACTTTTTCCTAACTTTAGGACAATAATAAAAATTGAAAACAAAAAGATTGAAAATAAATGCTACAACAATGTCAACAAGTATTAATTGTTAAGTACTTAAAATGTTTCACGAGATACGTACGGAGTAATATATGTGTGTTTATATATATATATATACACACACACATATATATACACACATATATACACACACACACACATATATATATATAATGTTTTTAGAATAGTATATAAAACGGGACAAACGTGATGGAACGGTACACTTGTATGTTATCCCGGTAATGTCCCACTTAAAATCGGGACAGAACGGGTTCGGGACAAAAAAATTTGAATCCAAAAAGAGATACAATTTCAAAACGGTTCAGGCACGTTTCGGAACGGGTCAACGGGAACGGTTTTCGTACCCGCCCCTAAATTCAACTCCAATGTCCGATGGTGTTGCCGTGTTGGCACTTGGCAGTACAAAGTACAAACACATCCGAGACATGAGAGGGGAAAAAATGAAAATAAGGGTTCATTTCAAAAAGAGTAAATTCCATATTTAGTCCCCAGTTTTAGGTCATTTTACATATTTAGTCCACGCTTATCAAATTTGACAATTATAGTCCCCAGTTATGTTTGGCCTTGACACAGATGGTCCTCCGTCAGTTCAGTCGCTAAATCATCGTTAAATTTAGGGTTGTTTCGCCATTACCCCTCGGCCCTCTCCTTTAATCGGGTAGACCAATCATTCTACACAGGTTTATTGCCTTCAAAAGATAACAATTGTTGGGTTTACTATAAAAGCAAAAATTTAAAGGGAGAAACACAAAAAAGATCCTTACTTGAAGAGAGATTGGGGCTGGTCGCAAAAAAAAAGATCCAAAAATCTCAGTACTAAAATGACTCACCTTCAAGGTCGGCCATGAGAGTAGGATGAAGAAGAATACAGATCTCTTCTTCGACCTCTTTCGATTGCGCGGGGAAGCAAAAAAATTAGGGTTCCTCCCCCATGCGTGAAAACAGACGAGGATGGTGAGTATGGTGGGTTAATTCTGATTTTTTTTTTGCTTTTTTAACGGGAGGAATGGGAGATAGCGGTTGGATTGACGGAGGTCTATTTGTGGCAAGACTAAACATAAATGGGGACTATAATTGTCAAATTTGATAAGTGGGGACTAAATATGTAAAACGATCTAAAACTAGGGACTAAATATGGAATTTACTCTTTCAAAAATATGGAAAATGACTAAAAAATCACTTCGATGAGTTCTTTTTTAGAGGTTACTTTTTCTTGGGTTTGGTTAAACAAGATTTTAACACGTTTGATGCACAGTAAAAATATTAATTTAAATAATGTAAAGTATACATAACACAACATTACGCATTTAAAAATAAGTTGTTATTCATTTAAACAATATTTTGCATCAAGCAACAGTGTCTAATAAAAATAAAGTAGAAAAAAATCATAAAATCTATATAAAATTTTTATACACAACCTTTTACATGTCGTCTAATATAGTGTTTTTTTCATCAAAAGTTAAAGGCTTTCCATCCTTGTCAATTTGTCACTCATTAAATAGTTATTAAAGATCAATCGTGTGAAACACTAAATTATTAATTGGGAAGACAACATGCAACGAAGTTTGTTCTTTTGTCAATGTATATTTTTGTCAATTCAATAGAGGTATGTTTGTCACCCCAAAAAATTTAATAGGGATATTTTAAGTTTTAACAACTAAAAATCCAAAAGGGGTGTGTATGTTAATCTATAACAAAACATATGCCAAATATGGTTCAAGTTTCTGGTTACAACCATGGTTTCTATTTTGGCATCCTCATTTATTCAGTCCACTGATATACAAAATCATTTGCTTTTCAAATTTAATTTAAAGTTAACCTAAAATTGGTTGTCCAAAATTAATTCCTAATAGTTGTGGCCTCTACTCAAATTGTTTAAAATAACTTTCATACTGATAAACTAATTACACCTTGCTAAAGAAATATTTTATTAGCAAAGTATCAACAGTAGGTGGAGAAACAAAAGATACAAAAAATGTGTAAGTTTCCTAATTTCTTTTATCTTTGTATATTGATCAACCTGTAAGTCTCTGAAATTTGACAATTCTGATATGAAATCAAATGAAGAAACGAAGAAACGAAAAATGTAAGCTTTAAGAAATGGAGAAACAAAAGGTACAGAAAATGCAAAAGTTCCCCGATTTCATTTATCTTTATATATAAATCAACTTCTATGTCCATTTCAACTTGTCCCGCCTAACTATCCACACATTTGTTGAAGTCCCCTAATGCATCCTTAATATGTGTATCCCTCCAAAACATTGTCAGACCTAGAGTTTTAAATTGCAGAAACTCTTAAATCCAACTATAAACATGTATAAATAAAAACATATACTACATACGTATATGACATTACTCTTCCTGGAATTTATCCATGGCATAGCCTTGTTCTTCGTTCCCTAAATATTTGAGATCATCTGTGAGTCACTTTTGTACAATAGCATAACATGGTGAAAGCTCTAGCCCAAGGCTGTCATATGTATACCAAGAACTCTGCATCCTCATCTCCACTCTATTCTAAAACTTGGAGGAATCGAACCCTTCTCTTTGTTGAAGAAGTGTGCCCAGAAAGAATGTGAGGAGACGGAAACCTTTCACATTCAAGAGAATATGTCAATGCACACTTGCAAAAGTGAGATGGACCTCTAACATCAAGATTGAAAGTGCATATGAAGTAGACTTAAAGTGTAAGTCATATTGGCACAGTAAAATAAAGCGAAGGTGAAAACTGTAGACTAATCTTGAAGAAAACAAAGATGGAAAATGGTGCTAAAGAAGGCTCTGCATATCTCCGCAAAGACAGTACCTGCCACGATAGACGACAACTCATATTTGAATCACAACAAATAATGACAACCTTCAATCACAAATACAGAGCATATTATTCAAAAAAAAAATTACTACTAGAGGAAGGAAGCCAATAGAGGAGAGGTTGAATCAGCAAAATAATACAACACATTTCCACAAGCATCGACATAAAATTTTTCAGGATTAAAGCATGCATTCCTGGAATTTTACGGTAAACCTCATTTTGTTAATATTTTATCTCGAAATTTCAAACGCATGAAAAAACTAAAAGAGTAAATATCTTAACTTGGGGGCAGCCACAATTGTTGAGTTGCTTTCATAAGACTCACAAAACTCTTGGCCTTTTTTACCTTTAAAAAAGGAAACTAAAGAATTGATAACATGTTAAAAAATAGAAATCAATAAGATATTGAAAAAAATCAAACATGCTAAGAAATAGGAGAACTAAAAAAATCACATACAAGTTAATAGAGTTGGAAACATGAAAAACCCTTATGTCTTTATATTTTTCAAGCACGCTCAATATGTAGGAAACCCATTCTAATTATTGGCAATGGCAAGTCAAAAAATGGAATACCACACGGTAACGTGGAGCATTCCAACCAATCAAAAAGAGTCCAGTCAGTGTGTGGTGAGTGAGTGGAGTGACATGTCATGCAGTGGCAAGTAATTGTTGTTTACACTTTTGTAACATATTTTAATTATAATTTTTTTTTACTTATCTTTTTTTCAAAAAAATATATGCACTTCATTTTTAAAAAAAAACCTTTTTTCTACAAATAAAAGAATAAAAAAAATAAAAAAAAATAAGAAACCAAAAGAGAAGAATGGCTCGCCCAAGCCATGCCTTGCATGGAAGAATACACAAGCCACGCATGGCAAAATGGGTAAATTGGTGATGTGGCATGGCGTGACAGACATTTGCCTCGCTACTGCGAATGCTCTAAAAACCCAAAGAGGAGATGCATGTATGTTGTAATATGCGTTAGAAAATACTGAAATTTATCTATATACTTTGTATAAGAACAGAAAAATGAAATAGTTTTTAATACACATTAAGTTTGGTAAAACCGCCTCTTCATCTATTACTTTCACATGTGGATCATGGTTGGGTGGAGTTTTATACAAACTAGTGTTAACCTCGTGCTTCGCAGTGGCTCATATACATTATAAACTTTTGACATTCTATAAATATAATTTTATTTTTTTAAAAGAATATTTTTTCACTTTAAGATATACGGAGTATTTTTAAATAAAAAAGTATACTTTAAATATTGTTGTGCATGCACTAAAAATCCTATATCTATTTTATTTAAAAAATATTACATTAAATAAAACATAAAAATGCCAAAAACAATTTAATATCTTTGAAGGTGAAATGTTTTTTTAGTTTTCTGAAAGTGAAAATTTTTTAAATTAATAATAAAGAGTCTTATAGATACTCTTCTTTAAAACTTTACAATCAATATGCATATTTAAAATACGGAGTAAATTGTATAATGGTGAAATATATGTTTATATAATTGTTATTAAATGTTAAAGTTTTATACAAAATATAATCAAAGTAATGTTTTTTATGCTAAAAAATAATATTAATTTAATATAATACAATAAAATATATTAAAAGATCTTTTAAAAAAGAAGTTTAATGAAGCAATGAAATGTCTCCACCTCATTATTAAGTGCACATGTGGCATGCCACATATCAACACCACAACCAACACACTCAACTTTACATATATACTAGTATTCTAACCCGTGCCACGCATGGGGTCAAATGAAATTTTTGACGGTTTTGTAAA